CGGTAACATTTGCGGTCCAATGAGAATTTACCTTTCTGTTCAGTCCACACAAGGCATTTTGGGAAATGAGTTTCAGAAATCCGCATTCTGAACGCGAGTTACGCCATTAAACCAGCGCAGCGCCACGACAGACCGCGGATGTACGCCGACTGCGCGCTGATCTGTTTCTTGTGATTATTTCCATAGAGGAGCATGAGGAACCCTGCGAGATTAAAGCTGTAGATCAAACCAGCCAGATCACACATCAGCACATCCACAAAAGAGCATGGATCGGCGGAAAAAGAAGCTCGTTGAGAGTAAGAACGCGTTTTTATGACGGCTTTTGCGTTTACATGGCTAATTCAGGACCGCAGAAGGGAAAGTTAAAAGGGCAAATCAAGGAAGAAGAGAAGCTCGGTCCATCCAAAGGTCTGCCCGTGCTCCACAAGTAAGATCACTTTTCTAAACACGTATATAATAGATCATAATATCATAACACACATCACGTGCCACGCTGGGGGTTATTTGACGTAAATGTGTGTGTTTCTGTCTCTTTAATTGCTCAGCCTCATCAAATGTTACATTGTATCTTTTCAACTTCCTTGCCGTCGGCGAAGTGATACAATGTATCATTCTGTGGGAAAAGAACTCGTTCTGAAAGCCCTGCTTCAGTGATGCTTCTGAAGTAGGAAGTGAAGTCTGACATTTGGAGTTCAGCTATCATTAATAATGAGCAGCGTTTAAAATATTCCAAACAAAAATATTACACTGTGGAGCTGTATTATTGTGTATATGAACAACATCTGTTATAGGAATAACTTCGAAAATGATCATCTTTATGAATAATAGACTCTTCATTAATTCTTCATTCAGCCTGGTTGACTTGTTGATGTTTTTTTCCATCAGTTGATGATCAAATATTATTAAAGTAGAATTTTAGTAGAATAGTTAAGTTTGTAATTGAGTTGGTTTTATATCCACACATTCTGACTTCCTCATTAATAATATAATGTCAGAAGAGTATGAGCAATTCCAGCGTTATGGATGTGACATTTGCATTAAAATCTCAAACCATAAATGAAGAGTTCAGATGCAAAAACCTCTAAACGACATCTGAAATCTCCATCAAAAATGATTTTTTTGTAGATTCCTTTGTTTATGTTGAGATATACCACTTTAAAGACAAGAAAAATGACTTATTCTTTGCCATAAAAGTGATATTACTAAACATTTACATAGGAGTCTGATAAACATGCTCATTTTAGAGGAATATTTCAGATGGTATTTTGAGGGTTTCGCATGTAAACTCTTCAAATGCACTGAGAAAGTATACAGTTAAAGTCAGAAATATTTGCCCCCCTTTCCCCCCCTATTTCTGTTTAATGAAGATTTTTTTCAACACTTTAATAAACATAATAGTTTCAATAACTCATCTATAATAACTGATTGATTTTATTTTTTCCATGATGACAGTAAATAATATTTGACTAGATATTTTTCAAGACACTGCTATGCAGCTTAAAGTGACATATAAAGGTTATTTTCTAGGTTAATTAGGTTGACTAGGCAAGTTATTGCCTGTCGGGCAGTGGTTTGTTTTGTAATCAAAAAATAAATAGCTTAAAGGGACTAATAATTTTATAATTACAAATAATTTTCACCATAAAATAGTTTTAAAAAAATTAAAAACTGCTTTTATTCTAGCCGAAATAAATCAAATAAGACTTTCTCCAGAAGAAAAAATATTATCAGACATACTGTGAAAATGTCCTTGCTCTGTTAAACATCATTTGGGTAATATATATAAAAAAAAGAATAAATAAATAAATAAAATTCTGACTTCAACTGTATGTTAAATTATATTGACACATCTGTTTATATTTTCCAAAACAGCTAACCACAGAGTTATGGAATCATCTGTAAACATTTTGTTTAGATTTTAAATGAGGGGAATAAACATGTGTTATGGATGTGACCAGTAAAGTATGTGAGTTTACAGTAGATCACATACTTTGTAGAAATTCTCTGAATTAAACTGCGCAACCCAAAACAAATAACACTAATCGAAAATATAAGAGTTGCTCACTATAGATCCAAAACGATTGATTTTATTTGATATTTTTAGCATTTATGAGGGAAAAGTATGGTTATGGATGTGACATCTCTCTGCTATGAATGTGAAAGATGTTAAATTGGCACTTGTGTGATTTTAGTAAACCAAATATAATTATTTGAAAACATTAACAGAGATATTTGAGTAACTTTAAAGCACTGTAAAATGCTTGCTTGCACAAAAAAACGCAGAAAGGGTCTCCATATTTTGGCGAAAACCTAATTTTTTTTTCATAGCAAGGTTAACATTTGCATGGAATTGCTTGTATATTCTTTGGAAATTCTGTGCAATCATATTAGCAGCTAATGACTATCAAAGTACAAAGTGTTCGCAGTTAAATTAATAGTGAAAGTGATGCTTCGAAGTCATACTTGCATCTAATTTCTGACTGAATATTCAAAATACCATGATAAACACTATAGGGAGCGTGTCACAAGTTGTCACTGAATGAATGTGCGAATATAAAACCAACTTTACCTCATTAATTTTGTAAATCAGTCTGTCTTTATCCAGCAGTCTGGATCTAGAGTGTAACAGATGTTAATGAAAGAGTGTGTGTGTGTTAATCAGATATACTTTCGTATAAAGTGTTTTAATGTTGAACTCCTAGAACTGAATACAAATCTGGAAGGTGCAAATGTAGCTTTTTATCAGTTCATGATAGGAGTTCATTGAGTAAAGGTTAAGTAGGTGTGGGTTTCCACTGTTAAAACGATGACAAATAGTCATGACGACAAAAGTTTCAATGTTGCTTTCCTCATTTCATAAGTTAATCAGGTTTCAGTGACTTTTTGTAGGTGTATACAAAGTTAACTTAGTATTTCTTGAAAGTTGAGATGACTAGAAAAGCTAATATGCTTCAACGAAAATATTTAAGGCATCAAAATTGGCTTTACAGTGAACAATGACTCATTTTCTTCTGAATCTGCTGTTGCCAGTCACATGTTTTAGTTAAATATCTTGTGCTTGTTTTGGCATTGTTGACGTACATAATGGAGCCTGTTTAGTTTCAGTAAGTTAATTCAGGCATCATCTCTGTCACTCCACAGGAATCTGTATGCATCCGTGTATATTCATGCGAGTACATGGGAACTAGTCAGACTGGTTTAGTGAGCTGGGTTATTGCGAAAGTGCAAGAACACATCTGTCATGAAACTTCCTATGTTTGACATATTGAACATGAATAACCAACAGACATTTTGCTGAATGCATGACTGATCTATATGTGATTGACCACACCTTCGGTTTCTGGTTGGTTGTACCTTTTCCTTTTAATGCATCTAAGGAATTTTAATAATGTGATAGTGAGAGTAGTACGGTTCTGTCCTCTTTCTTGTCAAAAAATGGTACAGTACAGTAATAATGCCATCGTTTTGAATTGCTTTATGGCCTATTCTTTAGTATATCTCGAAACATAGAAGTGCAGCTGAAAATTCGTCTTTACACACTGTCACAAACATTAAAATGATTAGGAAAGGAGACGCGACTGACCTCAACATGCAAATATGCTCCTCACAGCTCATAATTCCTCTAGAAGCAACAAGTAATACGTTTTTTTTTTTCAATAAATAATGAAAGAACTATATCAAATCCAATGTGATAAAATGTCTGAGTGATGCACATATATGAGTACAGTTGAAACCAAAAGTTTACATACACACTAAAAAGGAGCATAACCATTTTTTTTAAATGTCTGAAAGTAAATCATGCTAAACGTTTACTATTTTAGGTACTTTTTAGGATTACCGAAATGATTTACATTTGTTAAATGACAAAATAATGAGATAATTTTTTTTTTGAATTTTATATTAATTTCTAGTCAAATGTTTACACACATTTTCTTGGTATTTTTAGCTTTGCTTTTAAACTGTATAACTTTGGTCAGATGATTTAGGTATCCTTCTTTAAGCTTCTCACAATAGTTTGCAGGAGTTTTGGCTCATTCCTCCTGACAGAATTGCTGTAATTGAGTCAGGTTTGTTGGCTGTCTTGCTCGCACAAGCTTTTTCAACTCTGACCACACATTTTCTATAGGATTGAGATCAAGGCTTTGTGATGGCCACTCCAAAACATTCACTCTGTTGTCCTTAAAGCACATCTTAGCTAATTTGGCAGTATGCTTAGGGTCATGGTCTGTTTGGAAGACCCATGCGTGGCCAAGTTTTAATTTCCTGGCTGATGTCTTGAGATGTTGCTTCAGTATTTCTACATAATGTTCTTTCTTCATGATGCCATCTATGCTGTGAAGTGGATCAGTCCCTCCTGCAGCAAAACAGCCCCACAAAATGATGCTGCCGCCCCCATACTTCACAGTTGGGTTGGTGTTCCTGGGCTTGTAAGCTTTCCCCTTTGTCCTCCAAATGTAACACTGGTCATTATGGCCAAACAGTTCAATCTTAGTTCCATCAGACCACAGTACATGTCTCCAAAGATTTTTTTTCAGAGTATAATTTAGCAAATTGTAATCTGGCTTCTTTGTAAATTCTAGCTTGTTGATTTTCCCATGTTGTCACACAAGGAAGCAGTGTGTTTGAGGTCTTCCTTAAATACTGTTAAACAGTTGTACCTCCAATTAACTCAAATGTTGTCAATTAGCCAATCAGAAACGTCTAAAACTTTGACATCATCATCTGAGCTTGTTCAGAGGCATAATAATCCTATTGTATGTAAATTGTATGTAAAAGAGAAAAAGTTTAGTCACATTAACATCTGACTTTTTTTTAAATGGTTATTTCCCTTTTTATACCGTGTATGTAAACAACTTCTGGTTTCAACTGTATGTATGTGTACACACATATAATATGTGTGCATATAATCTCATATAGATTTTTGGACAAAATACAATCCAGACATGATGTTCTTGACATGTTATTTGAGGTTCATCAGTTAGATTATTAGTGTATATAATAATTTAAACAGAATCTCAATATTCAAGGGATCCTTTAGCAGAGGCTGAGCAGCATCGAATCTGCGCATGCGCGCTGCTGACTCGTCGTAATCCTCGCGCAACTGCGCGTGCTGAAGAGAAACAGGCTGAATTAAGAACGGAATCAAATAAATCGCCGCAGCACAGACACGCATGCACATCCAAAACTGCGCTTTAAACACTCGCATGCTGTCATCATGAGTCCCGCGAGCAGATGCATGAAAGCACCGCTGCAGTTTGCCTGCTGTGTGTGTGTGTTTATGCGGCGCGCGGCAGCAGCATCATCATCCTCACCATCATCATCGGCTCCAGCAGAATCATGAGTGTCCGAACTGGTTTACAGAACCGCCACGGACTGAACCGCACATCCGCACGGGAGCTTTTCTACCGCAGGGATTTGTCAGTATCTTTCACCCGGATGCTTTCGCTGCAGGACCGCAGTTGAAGAGACTCCACGTCGGACCGGAGAACCGGCGGAACCGGAGCGCTCATGTCCTCACCGGGCCCGAGACCACTGCACCTCACCCGAGCCTCTCTGCGCCGTTAAATATTCATAGTCACGATTTGAGTGTCAAACTTGATACTCCGGTGGCCGAAGAGACAAACGAGAGCCTTTAAAGCCACCGCTGACTCGGTGTAAACATCTGCATGAGATGAGCCGCTGGATCTGTGAAAGCAGGACGAGCTTCACTGCAGCAGCTGCAGCCTGACCCGCTGAGGGCCTCCGCCGGGTCACAGGCTCAGAGAAACCCGCTGGTCATCTGAGCCCACCGTATGCACGCCCGTACACACACTGACACCGATACACGGCTGCTTTTCAAAACACACAGGCTTGCATGCGTGTACAGTCACACAGATGTGTGCAGTTCACAGGTTTGCTTCGTTGTGTCTGCTACTTTTAGTTTAAATACTGGCTGGTTATAGAATCTCGACTATAAGAGAGGCATGCACGATATCTGCCAATACTTACTGATTTATATATAAACATATATATTTTTACAATATAACCAGTGTTTTTAAGTTTTTTTAAATATTACCAGGATCATTGGATAACTAAAAATGGCTGTTTTTATAATGTTGTCCAACATTTATGTTAAATAATTGTAATTTTTAAAGCATGCTTAACTTTATAGGGTAACTATATCAGCCATGAAATAACACCAATTATTGGTATCACCTTTAAAAATTTGGCCTTCTGGTTATGTTTTAACTAGTGCATCTGTTTAAGTCAGGATGTATTATGCACATTGTTTTTAAAATTGCCTGTGTCTGCATGCATATGGGATTAAACGCGCGCGCACACTCTTGCATGCGTTGATGCACACACACTCCTATGCTTGTTCTCAGGCCACTGATGTTTGTTTGCGATGAAAGGAATATTTGCTTCTGCAGGCTGGATGAAATGTGACGCATCGTAATCCCGGTGACAGCTGCGGAAAGATGAGCCACAGACAGAAAGAGAGAGAGAGCGAGACGGGCACAGAACATGATTAGAGGGACTGCGCCGTGACTCACAGAAAAACAAGACGCTCCGATGGAGACTGGAAACTTTTGTTCCTGCGTCAAAGTTCTTCTTTTAAACCCGTGAACCAAGTGTTTAAGTTTCAAGCGCTTCAATGATGTGTTGCACTATACCTGAAGCGTCGTCCTTCCTCTCCGGCGAGGTTACGGCAGGTTAATCACAGTCGCCGGGAGACTGAGGGCCCGTGGCTCCTGCAGACCTTTGGGAGCCGCCAGCCGTGAATCCTGTGAACTTCATAGCATGAAAGTGTCAGTGTAAAACACATCCTGATGTTGATCTCTGGCAGACTGGAGGAGATGTGTGATCCACCGAACTGAGTTTCACCTTTGACCTTTGTGTATTTATGCGTATGAAAGACAAACAGAGGGACTTGGCGTGTGTGTTTAAGAGTTGTTGTGGCAATGGGGAGCTCTGCGTCGTCTTTGACCACGGATAGGGAATCAGATCACGGCTTCGGAACGGCTCCGTTCCCCGCAGCTGCACCGATGGGTTGGCTGAGGACCAGTCACAGCAGTCCGGTGTGGGGAACCACTTTCATCACCCGCCAACAGCAGCAGCACCAGCAGCCTATTCCACACAGAGAGCGCAGGTACACATCGACAACAACAGCACAACAGGAAGACACATTCACTAATAAAAACACAAAATTCTCATTTTAGAAATGAAAAAATAACAAAATTCTCATTTTAGAAATGAAAAAATAACAAAATTCTCATTTTAGAAATGAAAAAATAACAAAATTCTCATTTTAAAAATGAAAAAATAACAAAATTCTCATTTTAGAAATGAAAAAATAACAAAATTCTCATTTTAAAAATGAAAAAATAACAAAATTCTCATTTTAAAAATGTAAAAATAACAAAATTCTCATTTTAAAAATGAAAAAATAACAAAATTCTCATTTTAGAAATGAAAAAAAAAAACATTTTGACAAAAACATTGGGTCAGATATGGACCAACCCACCTCTTGGGTTAGAAAGTGTCATTTAAATTGGCCATTTCTTTTTTGAACACAAAAGAAGATATTTTGAAGAATATTGGAAGACCAATATTTCATAGTAGGTTTTTCTACTTTGAAAGTCAGAAGCTACATTTCCATCCACCTACTTTTATGCGCATTTTGGACATGCATGTAAAGACTGTTGATGGAAACGCCAAGATGCGCATACATTTTGACTAAACTTTTTATTCGATAAGAAAAGTTGCGCATGAACTATGAAGGAAACACTTTTAAGAACAAATTCTAGTATGCACACTAAAAAGTCATGTGATTTTGTTATAAGCGATCATATGGGAAGGGTCTGAAATCGCCTACTACTCAGTAGTACTGCATTTAAATTCAAATGTACTACTCAGCTGTTAATAAAGTATACATTGTATATTCTATACAGCATGAATGAAACTCGGATGTACTACATCCGCCGTTTTGCTATGATCACGTGACTTACCCACGTGTATTGCGTCGCTTTACTGCCCGTCATGAATTCTCTCCTGGGGTACTTTAGAATCTTGCAGGAAGTAGTAGGTCATCTGGATAGTTCTCGCATACTGATTTTCGAATTCTCTGAATGCGGACATACTACTCTCCTATCATTCTGTTTTTAGCATACTATAGAGTATGGAAGTATGCAATTTCTGACACAGCCATGTTGATGAAAATGTGCGTAAATGGACAAATCAACAGGCTGAGCACACTGTAAAACATCTAAAGTGTTGTTTTGGTCATTCTTAAACGGCTTAATTAATTTCAGTATTAGTGTTATTGTATTATTCATGACCTCCAGAATAACCAAGAGCGTTTGTGCTCCGCGTCTTCAAACGTCACCATGCGTTCATTGCGTATCAACATTGTCTTCGGAGACGCAAGTAATTTATTAAATAAGAAAAAGATTGACGCAGCTTCTCAAGATTCTGACTGTGTGATAACCTTGGATAAAAACATCACGGTTTCACGGTATTGTGATGACTGCTTTAATATCTAGTCTTTTAAAATGTCTGGGTAAAAAACTAAAAGGTTTTTCCATTTTGAACACGATAAAAAAATTTGAGTAACATTTAAAATATTTTGGAGCAGTAAACATGTCAGGCTGAATAGTTCAAATTAATGATTGATTTCTGGTGTATTCATTAGTTTCAAAAATACAGATTTTTTTTTTGACAGTTTAAAATGGCGTCTTTGGAGATCTTTTTGCTGGACAGACTGTTGTCCTAAAAAACAAAAAATAAATAAATACAAAATCGTACACACACCTTAGAAATGATATTGCAGAAAATATTTATGGTTTTAAAACCTTGACTCTTCCAAACTGCGGTATACCTTAAAAAAAGTTATCGTTCCATGCATCAAATTCTGTTTTGACTGTTGATATTTGGGCCAGTTAACCAGGCGATTTTGTTCTCTTTGACTCGTTGGATGGAAACGCTGCTTTATTTCCACATCTTTAATGTGATATTCCAGTTTTGCGCATAAATTGAAAAGATTTGCATCTTTGGATGGAAACATGGCTAGTGGCTTCCAGTTTTGCAACATTCTTTAAAGCATCTTCTTTTGTGTTCAACAGAAAGATGAAGAAAGTAATGATGAAGGTCACTTAAGGGCAGGCGCTAAAAAGTAACTCACTTTAATGTGATGAACAGTTGAAAACAAAATGATTCACCCTCCTCTTGTTTAATAATTTGGGAAATGTTTTAAAATATAATGTTTAACAGAGCATGGACATTTTCTGCAGTATTTCCTATTATATTTGTCTGACGTAAGACATTTCTGTTAGTTTGACTCTAATACTTTTTTATTTCTTTATTATTAGCCCATTTTAAAAAATTGCCTACAGAAGAAACCAATGTTGTCGGTACCACTTTATTTTGACGTTTCCTATTGCAAATTTTGTTAACTAAAAGTTGCATTGTAACTAAATGCCAATTAATTCTCATTCGAGTATTAGTAGATTGCTTAATATCTTCTGATGCTGCTCCTTCAACATTTAACTGACAGCAAAATCCTGCGAGTAAAATTGACTTAGTTTAGATAGTATTTGGTCCCTGTTTAAATTGAGTTAAAGTTACTCAAGTTAATGAGACATTGAAAGGACAAATTAGGTGATGATTGATAATAATAAACAGAAACACAGAACTATAACCAACTTTAGTCACAGCCTTAGATGAAATCAGCTGAAATATAATACATTAAATGTCTCAAAATCTCAGCTGAGGATCATTAAGCAACTCCACAAACAGCAGCATTACTTATTATCATCATGTTTGCCCTTATTTAAAGAGGGACCAAATACAGAGTAAATTTTACTCTGAGGATTTTGTAAGTACATGTCAACTTTCACTAACCCCAACCTAACAGTCTACTTATAATCTAATGAGAATTAGTTGGCATGTAGATGCAATGTAACTTAAACAAACTGTGTTAAACGGAACATCGAAATAAAATGATACCCTGTTGTCCAATGACTTGCCTAATTACCCTAACTTTGAACTAATTAACCTAGTTAAGCCTTTAAATGTCACTTTAAGCTGAATACTGGTATCTTGCAAATTAGCTAGTCACATATTATGTACTGTCATCATGTCAAAGATAAAATAAATTGGCTACTAGTTAAATCGAAAAGAACTGATCCTGTTAATACATTAAGGTCTGTGCTAAAACATTATCTTCATCATTATTACCTTAAATTTATAATCTCTATCTATATGGTTGAGTGTGTTGAACTGAATCCATTGGCCCGTTTTGGTACGATACGGTACAGTTCAGTACGCCTTTATGGCCGTTTCCACTATCAAAAGGTACCTAAAAGCGAACCGTACTGTACCACTTTTTGGGTACCCTTTGCAAAGTGTACCTAGCACAACAAAAGGGTACCAAAAGGCGGAGCAGGACGCGCAACTGAATGCTATGTGTTTACAGAGATATGTCATTTGCTCATGCAACAAGCCAGAATGACAACAAAGGAACCACCATGTTTAAAATACACAGCAGAGACATTGCAACGTAATAATATATACATATTATAACGAGCCATGGTCGACCCGAGCTCAAACAAACCTTGTCGTCGTCTTGATGAACAGTCAAAAAAGCCAAGAAGAAGAGCAGAATCTACCCTGTGCACCCTAGTTTTTACAAGGCTGTCTAAAGCGCGAGCGGTTTCGCATTTTTACATGCGATCAACGCGCGTCTATATTTAAAATAACAAACAAGTTAATAATAATCTGCACATGATTATTAGGGTGCTTTCACACTTGGTTCATTTGCCTGGACCGTACTCAAGTTCGATTGTCTCCCCCTGACACCTCTGTCACCTACTGTCTTTATTCCTCCTGAACCCCGGTACGCTTGCGTCATCGAGCTGCTGTTTTGTTTACAGCCGTTGCTAGGTGACGGTCACAAAAGCAAGCGCCATAATAGAAAGACTTCTGCCCATCGCGGTCATTCTGCTGTAACTGAAGTTTTTATTTTCGGACATACAGAAAGCGACTAGCGTCCATCTGTCCCAAAAATGTTATAAACATTCAGAACATCACACAGAGTCTGCAGAAGCTGTTTTTGGAGGAGACAAGCAGATGTGCATCACTGTGTTTGCCCTGGCTCAGTCCTGTGTGTGTCACCATGGTTCGAAACGTGACACACACACAAACACAAACGAATGTTATGAAAATGATAGTCCGTAGTACAGTTGGCGGTTCACTTCCGTGATTTGGTACGATTGCATTCACATCAGAAGTAAACCGTACTAGAGTTCGCATGAACCGTACCCCAGACCACCTCTTTCAGGCGGACTCGGGTACGGTTCATGGGTGCGCATCCGAGTAACCCTGATGCAGACCAAAAGTGCTAGTGTGAAAGCACCCTTAAAGTGCTTTTGATATCCGATCCTTTCAGAAAAGAGAGTAAAGCTTGAAAAAACAAAGGGGAAGCTCCAAAAAACAATGACGCAAATGATTCTTTCAGCAACCTAAAACATGAACAAACTGCCATGTTTAACTATTATCATCACCTATTGGACTAATGTGATCTCAGAATGACAGAATTACTTTCTAGCAGAGGCTACATGGGGCTGGTGAAGATTAAAGACACAGATGAGAGAGGTTTGCACTGACTGGGCTGTATGTTGCATGTTGTTGAACCCAAATAAGGACTAAATGTCTGCTGTGTGTAGTTCTTCTGTAATTGATAACATATCGGAGACTGTAAGGGGCTGTATGTGTTTATATATGTTAAATTAATTTTTTACATTATATAATTGCAGACGTTACAGTAAGCTATTTCAATCATTGATCTGCAGTTATAATTAAATCCTGTTCATAGAAAGGTTATTAGTGAACATTTATGCAGAAGTGTTTATGTGTGTAAAGCCTCTGTTTTGTGAGAAGTGCTTCTCACATGATATGTGAGTGACCCGTACAGCTTTACTGTAGACATTTCCTCGAGCGAGAATGATGTAGACTGAAGCTTTCTGTCGTACACCACACCCACCATTGGTACCCTTTAGGCAGTGGAAACGCAAGTCTGATAAATGTGACCCATACCGTACTGTACCGCTCAGTGGAAACGGGTCATCTATGGTACTGAGTGTGTTTACATGC